TGCTCAGTTTCTGTTACCCACAGCACAAGTTTAAATTAAGTTACTTAATTCAGGACCATTAGAATAAACTGCAGAACCATTGTTTTAAATCTCAGTTAATAGAGTTATATAAGGCGAGGGTGGGGGTTAACACATTGAGTCTAAATCAGGACTGTTTCTAGTTTTACTTAAAATGTCAAGAACTGTTCATCTACATTTCTTAGCAATTTGGAAAATGTAAACATTTTATTGTGAGAAAGAACAGCAAAACAAAGCTGCTCTTGAACTCTATGTTCCTGTTGCAGCTAAAAGTAGCTGTGTGTAGGTTTAAGTGGTATGGTGCTTTTGGTGCCACACCCTTTACTTCCCAGCCAACCCAACCCATTCAAAAGGTTGTTTTAAGATGATCTGTTCCAGAAACATGCTGATACTGCAGAGAAAGGACATGTCAAGAGAACAGAAAATTACTTCATAAAAAGAAAACTCTTTGAAGGAACATCAGACCACCTTTAAATTGGAGAATATCAAAAGAGAATGGGGGGTTTCATAGGAAAAATGAAATGCCACATCATTTGATAAAAGGAAAATTAAATTTACAAAAGGACTTAATTCAACGACAGAGAATGTGGATTGGTAATAAAATCATATGCACTAGGATAGTCCAATTTGCTGAAATGTTATTGAAGCGACGAAGAGTTTGTTTGTTCCCCACCTGCTATAAGTATGGTCCATATGAGATGCCACAAGGTGAGCGGGGGGTAGGTGGTATCTCCTCCCTTATCCTGTTCAGAGCATTAGTAGCTACCTTTGAACACGTGGAGAAAATGGTTTGTAGCCCTCGTTTAATGAAAGAAAAACACACAATGGCTACTGAAATAATCTGGCAAAAGTAATAAATACAAATTTTATGAAAATAAACAGATAAAAGTCAGACATTGATTTTCAACCATGCTTCAAGTGAATGATTTTAACAAAACAGGCCTGGATAAAAATATTGGTACCCTTACCTTGATATTTTGTTTTCTAAACTTTTTAGGTAGTTACTGCAATTAAATGATTTCTGTAAATGTCAATGAGACTTCTGCTCCTCTCAGCAGGTTTTTTTCTCTCTCTCCTCATGAGGAAGCTGCTTCATTCTTCCTAGGTTTGAAGGAAGCCTTTTCCAGATAGCATGTTTCAACTCCTTCCAAAGATGCTCAGAAGGATTCAGGTCAGGGGTCATAGAAGGCCATTTTGAATTGTCCAATATTTTCTTCTTAGCCATTCTTGGCTGTTTCTAGCTGTATGTTTTTGGTCATTATGCTGTTGACTGTCAGGTGAGACCAAGCTATCGGACTCTGACCAGCACTTTTCTCTCTAGAATCCCTTGATAGTGTTGAGATTTTTTCCTACAGAGATTAAAGATAACATGTGCAAAGCAACTGAGAGCATAACAGATTCTCCTGCATGTTTCAGATTAGGAAAAGTGTTTTTTTCTTAATATACTTTATTTTTCTTTCTGTTCACATAGAACTGGTGTGCCTTGGCAAAAAGTTCAGTTTTTGACATTCTCCTGAAAGCTTTGCAGATTGTTAACATTTAGCTAATTTTAGCCTGGATTTTTGATTATTCGTTTTCAACAATAGTGTGTCCACTTTGTCTCAAACAACAATTGATGGTGTGATCGAAATATATGTTCATTGCGCTTGAAGTTCCCCTTTAATCTCTTTCGGTTTTCTTTTATTACCATTCAAATCATCCGTCTCTTCAGTTTTTCTCCTGCAGCTGCGTCCCGGACATCGGCTACTATCCCATGGGTTTTTACATTTCTGAATAATATATGGGCTAATATATGTAGCTGATTGGAGACAGTCTTATAACCTTAACCATTAACATGCTTGTCTATAATTTTCTTTCACATTTCCTGATATCGACTATTAAAAAAATAAAAAAAATCTGTTAGATTAAAAACAATGTCTGACTTTCACGTTTGTATTGTTTTATTTATTACTTTTGTCAAATTTATTTCTGTGACTATTGTGGACTTTAAATTAAACAAAAGTCCACTAACGTCCATATGTGTACATGGACACAATTGGAAAAGGTGCGTCATGTAAACATGTCATGCCAAATATTTTGATCAGGTTTAGCAGAATAGGAATAAAAGATCAGCATGCATATAAACATGTTAGGACTAAGTTATTCTACCTAAGTCAAGCTGACATTAAGGTGCATATGCAGCCTTTGTCAACTTGTATTTCTACTTTGAGTGGCTATAACAAAATATTGCAATGGGTGTGTTTAGATAAAATATTGTTAGTCTGACCAGCAGTTTAGTCTGATTACTTATGCACTTATGAACTTTTGTACAGTCCTATCATTTTTGGTTTCTTTAATCCAAACATCTTCATTTCAGTCATGTAAACAGCTACTGGGGTCCTTTATAGTTTATTATGCCCTTTATTGTGGAGCCCCTTAATAAGGGGTAGGTATGATCAGGTATTAGTGGGGCTGAAAAAAAGCAGGTACCGATAAGGAAAAAGCAGTAATGGAAACATTTGAAAATTTGCGGAAAAGGGGCATGAGGTGTACCTGGTTGTGTTTGATGGACCTAAACATTCTGTCCATGCAAAGCCTTATGCTGCCAATATTGACAATGATCCTGATCAAATGCATCTCTACTGACAGATGGCCAAAGAGAAAAATTATGGAGAGAGAAAATACATGCAACCATCAGTAAAATGTTGTTTTAAAGGGTCCTCTCAGCTTTACTCTTTAAGTGCAGCTGTTGTTAATTTCATTCAGGCCAAAACAGCTGCCACTGATGAACAAAGATCAATATATTGGCATTTTGGATTTTCAAAGCAGAATGGGCACATAAATTGTTATATAAACAGACATGTTTTACCAGACAAAGTTAATCTTCACAACTTATTTTGTTCATGTGCAATCCATATCAAGATGCGTCTTTTTTTCACCAACAAATCATGGATGCTTAAAGTGAACCAGTATTATAAAGATAAATGTCTTAAAACCTTTTACTTAACATTCAGAGGAGGATTGTACAAAGACTCCTTTTCCAGTCCTTTTTAGTTTAAGGATCAGATTTTTAAGAATCAACATTTTCTGTATTTGTTCTAAGAATCCAGAGGAATGACAGAAATCCTGAAAAATATTTTTAATGAATATTCTGAAGTAGGGTTTTTTTTTTTTTTAGTGTGGAGCCAGAAGCCCTCTGGCGTACATGTTGGTGAACCAAGCGGAAGGTCATAAAGGATTAAAGGAAGCTGTGGTTTTTCTGGTGGTGTTAACCGGTCCTGCTAATTAGGTGAAAGGAAGCTTTAGCTCAATGAAGAATGCATGAGAAAGTGAGGCAAACTCTGCAAGATGTTTACTATAAAACAAGCTCCAAACACTGAACTCGTGTCATTTATGACTGACATAGCATTTTGAAAAAAACTATATATATATATATATATAAATATAAAAAGTGCTGTTGTGGAGCGCTTTTTTCTTTTTATTATTTTTGAGGTAAAGGGTTCAAAGAAGAGACTCCAATCTATTTTTAATGTGTTGCTCAGCTTTCTTTACAAATTTATTGCCTAATCAACAGAGAAATCTTTGCGAAGTTGTCAGAATTTACCATCTTCATTGAAAAAGCCTAACTAAAACAGTAACATGATTAAATAAAGTTTTCAGGCAAATTTAAGAGATCAGGAAATGTGAACACAGGACAAGATTTATTGCCCTTTCTTTAAAATGAAAAGCATAAAAGGAGAAACTAGGTGCAGCCTGCAGAAAGGGTCTTTAAATAAATGATTTCCCCCTGGAAAGAAACAGGATTCACTCTACCTCTGGAAACAAGAGCTGAGGATAAGGAAGAGAGAAACAAATACAATAAGATGTACATATGGTTGCTGTTCCAAAATATAAAATGGTTTTATTTATAAATATTTCCACTAAAGTTTTTGGGTGGAAGCTCAGCTGATTTGAATAATAAACAATCACTTAAACAGTGGGGAATTGATATTTCTCATAATAATGAATAAAAAAAGAAGTTTGCACCACAAAGAGAAAAGCTTTCAGTGTCGTATCGGAAACCATGTTGGCATCAATCAGGCTTTACTTTGTTCTGCTTAGTAAAAGAGATGATCCTTAACATTTACACAGAATATGTTGAGATTATTTTTCATTAATCACAGCACATGATCTTACATCACAGCTGATTCGCAGAAAATTCAAAACGTTGCATCTGCAACCTACTGTTGCATTGATAAATACAAAACCTGTGGTCGTTTTTCCAGAAATTGCCGATCATGTGAAGATTCGCGAGAAGTTTATCTAAATTAAAGGCAGGTAATCCTCTGCAGTCCGTTTTGTCTGAACAAATTGGCTGCTTCTCAACAAATGTAGGTATTCCTTTTGATTAAGACTGGTTCATTAAAAACAAGAGAAACGGCAGTTAGTTAAACAGAAAGGAAATGCCTATCAATGACACTAAAAGAATTCTTGAAACCAAGAATAGCTGAAAAACTGGAATCTGAATTTTCCATCTCTGACTGCATACTGACACAAAGAGGGGGTGTCCTGTTGGATACTGGCGATCAGTGCTGGAAAAATATCTCTGGAAACAGTGGAGCCACGGAAAATCCTTGGATTTATCTGGAAAAATAACCAACTCCACTGTTTATTCGTTCTTCTGCTGCCTTTTGGCTGTAAAACGACAGAAGTAGAGACTGCACTGACTGACTGGTATTTTACAGCTTGATGAGTTTACATGAGAGGAGGGAGCTAAGCTGGAGGGATATGCTTTACAATCATTTTACTTACAGCCCAAAGGAAGGGCTCGTTTTAAAACTGAACATGTTACTGGGTTTTTTTTTTTTTTTTTGTAGAAATATTAGTTAAAAAAGAGCCAATCACATAAAATTATTTAAGACATTTTATTTGTTCAAAATTAACAGAACGTGCATTAAGCAATTGCTGAAAAAAAAAAAAACATCAATTCCCATACATTAAAATGACTGTAAAAGGTTATTTAGAAACAAAATCTCTTAAAAAAAAACAAAAAAACAAAAAAAACAAGAAAAATTATAGGGACAAAAGGGTAAATAACTCAGATCAGGCAGAATGTTCCAGTGGTGTTCTTTATATGGGAAAACTTACAATCTTCTGGTGCTGGCTTCCTAAACACAGCAAATAACAATAACAGCAGTTATACCTGTGTAACTACAGCAATCAGATGTTTGTGCAGGTGCAGCAGTTTACTGGGTGTTTAAATCAGTGTTAAAGATTAAACAAAGCACTAGATCCAAGATCAGATATTACACCTCAAGTGCTTTGGTGGAATTTATCTGAGGATGTTTAAGTGCCGCTGTCTCCCAGAATAAAAACAAAAATTAAACATACATTTGTACAGGATACACCACATGAACGCGGCCCAGACTGGCTTGCAAAGAGCTGAGCTGGAGGCTCTACTGAGAGATTTGCATAGGAGCAAACACTGCACACAGCTCACATCACCTGATGGGCTTCCTGTCAAAGTCTCACCACCGACATCATAGCAACATATCTGCTGTGGGCTGCAGAATACCAACAGGAGCGAGGCCAGACGTTCAGAGTCGACAGTTCAGTGGGAGCAGGAGTAAAAGTGAGAGAACGGATGCAGACGGTTGTCTCAGCAGTTTCTGGGCTGTTTTCCAGTGTGTGCTATATTCTCAACAGAAAGACCACGAGATCATCATTCATGACAGCCTAGTTGGTGTTGTACAGTAATTATAGATGCCAACACACACCCACTTGCATGCAAACACACACACACCAAGATTTGTGGACACAAAACTAAATATAGGCAGCTAATTTCACACTCAGACTTTCTTGTATACAAAAAAAAATGCAGGAATGTTAACCACCAGGCTACAGTATGCATGGTAAACCCCCTTTCAAAAAATATTTTTGGTATCTATGCAAATGTTACTCATACAGTTAAGGTATTTAATTGGAAACACCCCAGTAAAATAAACAGTCCTCTAGATAAACCCAAGTGAAGTTCAGTGATATCCAGTGCGAATGAATTAACCTATGAGTGAAATGATGAGACTGATTGGCACTTCAATTAAACAGGTGGACAAAACATTACACAGTGATGTACAGTATGTTAAAATGTTACAAAGGATTAGGTTTTATCATTCAGGGTGAAAGAAAAGACATAATCCAAAACATTTTCATTACTCAAGTCATAACTATTGGTGGGAGGTTTCTGAAATTCCAAGTATGGGTTTCAGTCCTGAGTAAGTCTTTGGGAAAGACTGAAAATACCCTTTGATGAAGTTTAACATGTAGGTGCATATGCTTCAGACAGAAATTGGCAAACATTCAGAGGCTAGTGAGGAGGCGTTCTTCCTCCCTCCATCAACACAACCCAAAACAGAGAAGAAGTCCTGAATATTGGTCCGTGCAGGGTAGGGGATGAAAGAAACTGCAGTGATCTAATGTCACGTTGATGTTGACCCCTGTTCTGCATAACAATCTGCTGTCACTGTAAATAAAAATAACTTTCTGAACTTGGAAGCCTAATTAGAGCGAGAATGAACACCTTCCAGTAAGTCCTCCAAGGATTCTGCTCCTTCATGTTTCTGCTCCTCCTTTTCAGTCTTTGCCTTTTTTGTGGGTAATTTACTGGATGAAGGTGCGTCTTCCTGCATCAGCTCTTTGGCCAGGATGTTGGTCACTGCATGACCAGCTCGCCGGTGGTTGGCTGGGACAGAAAAAAAAACAACAAAATGAGACAAAACAGAAACGCCACAATGAGTCTGCACTTTCAGACAGTCGAACCAGGGTTCCTGCTCATTCTGAGCTTTCCCAGAATCTAAACTTCAAATTTTTGTTCCTCTCTTAAACCATTTAAAATAGTAAATAAAACAATTCACTGAATTAATGGAAAACTGTTAAAAATACAACACAGCAAACAAAAGCTGCACAAATGGATGGATGTTGTACAGACAGATGGATTGGTAAACTTTTTTTTATGAAGTGATGGACAAATTGGAGGATACATTAGCTGAAGTAAAATGCACGGACAGAAGGATAGATGGATTGATGACGCAAACTGCAGTCTATAAAGTAAAATGATACTTGGATACAAAGATGAACCAATTAAGAACACAAATGTTTGCAAATTAAAAGTATATAATAGAAACCAGAGGCTGGGATTTGAAGGGCTTTTAATAGCACTCCTTCTTTTCCCCGGAAAATAGTCCAATTCCATATTTTTCCAGGCTGCTTAGGAACCCTGGTTACTGTGCACCAAACTCCAAAGACGACTTAGATGAGCAAGTATGAAACTGCATAATTCCCTGCAGATATACAGCCTTAGTTGGGACAAAACGAAGCACAACAGATCAGTTTATATAGAAAATGTGTAAATGGAGCAACCTATTGCTAGTGTTGGATTAAAGTCCATCTGTTCCTGATCAAGTGGAGGAATAAGCATGAGAAAATAGGACATAATATATGTTAGAGAAAAGAGGGGCTGATGAGAGGAATAAAGCAGGAGATGATGTGCAGTGAATCCAAGAGGGAAAGCAGCAGGTTATAGAGCATGCAGAGCAGGATGATTCATACTGTGGGAAGATTAAACATGGAAGGATGAATGAAAATGAGATGAAAATGTTTACAGAGACTTGAGTCAGAGAGGGAATAAGATGAAAGGAATGACGAGAGGAGTGACACAAAAAAGAAGGAAAATTCAAGTGCATGGTATGACGGATTAGACCCTGAGGATGCTGTCTTTATATTTATCTACCTGCTTACATCCTCACAGACAGCAGCCGCCTCATCGCTCCTTTCCTCTGCCTACTCTCTACTGTCCTTTGCTGCGTAGGACGACAGCTGTGCAGCAGCAGCAGCCATTTTGAGTTATATAGGTCAGTGGGAGATTGTGCTTGTGTGTTTGCTGTTATTTTATACCTGGTGAACGTTTAGAGGTCTTCACTCCTTGAGCAAACAAAGCAAAACCAAAACAAACGTCAATCCTTAAAAAAAAAGGGAAGTACTGTAGACATGCAGATAAACCATGGCTAACAAAAAAAAAACTTTAGATAGATTAGGCAAGAAACACACACAAACAGAACTCCACACAGATTTACCGAGCAGGTTTCCAGAACCAGCTGCGACAGAGACAAAATGGAATCTACAGAAAGGAGAAAAACGTATAGATCTGTCGTTTGAGCTTCATTTGCATCTCAGCTGAACAAATCAGCACAACCGTTAAAGTAGCAGTCACCTTCCCTCTTTCCCCCCTTCATAAACACCCTTCTTTGGAAATATTCTATTTTTATCTAAATCAGTCCGTCTCACCTATAAATGTGCTAATTAGATCTTATGCAAATGACCCAAAAACCATAAGAAAGCGTGGTGTCTTCACATGTGCGTGTAAGGAGCCCGTCCTACATGTTTAAACCCGCTGAGGAAAGGTTGTCACCACAGCTTCTCTTCTTTCATCTTCCTCCACCTCCTCTGGAGGGTAAAGCCAAAGAGGAAGTAGAGCAGCAAATGGACAGATTTAGACAAAATAACAAAAACAACCAAAACTAAAATAAAATAAAATGATAAATATATACTTTTTTTTTATACTTTTTTTCCCCAAGCAAATAGAGGCTCTAACCTTACAAATAATATTGCATAGAGACATTTTTTATGCATTTGTTTATGAAAACACTAGGAATTAAATTGTCAAACAGAGAAAAACAAAAAATTGTTTGGATCTGAACTGCTTTTAAAACACCTAAGAAACACGACTGAAAGGAACTCTATTTGTGGACAAGGTCAGGGCTAGGGTCATTTTAAAAAGCACAAAATGAGGATCATGTTCTACTAACAAAATTGAAATTAACTCTTGATTTGCAGCCATGTTCTAAAAGAGATGGTGGTTAAGCTCCCTAAATTTTTAAGTTTAGGTTGCTACTCTGTAAGATCTTTTTTCTATTCTTATTAGAGGCTTTTAAAATTAGAAAATATTTAGAAATGAAGCAGATTGCACATCCGGATTTAGTCCAAAACTTTAAACTAAGTCCTGATAAATTCCAAACTTTATCCAATTACCTCTCTGCCTGTGGGCATTTAGGTTTTCAGTAAACTGAAGCACAAACTCACTACAGTAGTCTTTCACCATGCGTTATCAAACACAAAAACAGTCGGCATGCATATAGGATGTTATTACCAGCTCTAATTTTGACTAAATGATCCATGGCTGCATCGTGAGGCAGAGTGGCTGCTGCACATTTGCAGGCTCTGTTGGGGCCGACAACAAAGGCTGTTGATGGTCTGTTTACTGATGAATGTTGCACACCGTAGGGTGCTTTGCGGTGCACAAAGCTGAGAGAAAAAAAGGCTAACATTACGCGGCAGGAGACGAAATAATGAGAACCTGATGAGGGAGATAAAGATCTGCTGTACAATGTGCTGTAGGTCTGATGAACAAGAAGGTGAGCATGTTTAAACCAATAAAGGTTTGGATGAGAGAGGCTCTGAAGCTTTACTCAGGTAGATTACTGCAGTAATTCATCCTTCACTTTTACACACGTCACATCTGGGCATCTTTTATACAGGAATTAGATCTTCATTCTTTCTAAAAGGTGTTTGAAGGCTTTTGTTTTGTTTCTTTGACTGAAACTAGTTCAGTCATTTTTCTCTTTGCCTGTTAAATTTGACAATAGTTTCATTTAGAGATGTAAAGAAAACAAACACTTAATGTTTACCAAAACACCTCACTAAAAGAAAACTAAATGATCTAACAGAGCGTGACAAATAAATTGAAATAGTATTCTAACATCAAAAGTGACTCCCAGAGTCAGTAGCTGAACACCTAAAGGATGAGGGGCTTTCTCATCAGTTCTTTATTTCAGATAATTGTCTTTAATTCAGGTGTATTTAAATCCTTTAAACTTAAATCTGCTCTTTTTTCCTGTGTTTTGCAATTTCTTAAAAACAAACTATTTGTTCCTGAAGAACGACTTTACCAGATTATAGGAAAGTCTGACAGAGAAGTAAGATGTGGTTTAAACCCTCTGCTGTGTGTTGGAGGCTGTTTATGGAGCAGAAACACAAAGGGCAACATAATGACGGTCTGACGGCTCACATAATGGGGTATTTGCAGATGCAGGCAGAGCTTGTTTTCATTTTGTCAGGGATGCATATCGCCATCCTCAGGTTACCGTGGGTAAAACACCCCTGCTGTAGAGCAGAGGACTGTGGGAAATGGTGATGTCATCTAGCAGCACTACAAGCTGTTGGGGAAGCTATTGATGTCAAAACATGAAGCATTTCTGCCACTGGTGGAAATGGTTAGTAGGACTTCATTGTTCTCACTGTTTTTCAGCTACAGCTTAATGGATGATCTTTTTCTCCTGGGCAGTTCCTGCTTCACGTCTCTGTATGGGTGCTGGTGCTTGTGAGCATCTGTGAAAGCTTCCCTTCAGCTGCTGTGGGTTTTTCTGTCAAAGGGCAGACTGCAGAGCCAGCGTGTGCCTCTATTGTTGCTATGCTTTTTATGTTCTCCACTCTTTTACCATTGGTACTTTATCAGGAGGTTGCTTCTCTGATTGGATGTTCCACTAAGGGTCAGGACCCAGCAGATGGGTCTATAGTGTGTTTAGACAACATTCCTCCACTTCATTTACCTTAAACAGTGGTTCCTATTCATTTTAACAAAAAAAAAAAAAAAACATTCAGGCTATCCAGACTTTGTGATCACCTTAAAATCTAAAAGTGCACTATGCATCTATGAACAAGGTTTCTAGAGTCTGCAGGATTTGGAAATGAGACCAAAGAAGGAAGGAATACAGCATGAGAGAAAGATGAAAAAAGAAGGAAAGAGGTAAAGGCGGCACACAGCCTTAGGAAATACAAATATTATTCCATAGCCTATATGCTATAATATTATAGTTTCTATTATTATAGAAAAATCTTCTTCCTGTCTGCAGTGAGCCTCATTAACAAGGACAGACCCCCCACACAGATTTTCCATTACAAATAAAAACAAAGAATATGTGCAAAATATTTAATATTATTCCATATCAATGGTGTTGAACGTTTTCATATCTGCTATGGTACTCTCTCTTTAAAAAGCTGCACTTTTCATCTCCATTCTCATAACATTCCTATACCATTATGCTTTTCCCAAATTATATGTTCCTGTATTTATTTATGTCAACGGTATGTTAGCTTTCTGGGTGCAGCACCCTATCACCAAAATAAATTCCTCCTATGTATAAAACACCACTTGGGATAAAGCATTTTGGGTTTCTGATTCACTTCTGGATAAAACGAAAAAACAATCCCCATGCCACCCTGAGTAAAAACTAATAGGCTGACATTGCTTTATTCTGAATTGATAGAAACATGTTAAAACATTTAAAGCTACAGATCTGAAGCTCATAGGGGGAGCTTTAAAGTTTTGTAGAAGCTCTTCTATCCTCTGGAACGTGCGTTCAGCTCTACCAATTTGCATATCTTTGTATTGGCATGCGAGCATCTGGCGTGTGTGTTTTTGTGTTACAGGTGGGGGGTGGCAGACAGACGGAGGGTAGACAGCTGAGGACCCCCCATTCAGTCTGCTCTTTGCACACAAACACACAAAATGTGACCTGAGGTACAGGTCAAAGGTCGGTGGATATTTCCCCTCTAAAGCCTCGTGGCAGACCATTCAGTCACACTGCAGCGACACAATGAGCGTGAAAACACACTCAGTAGGTCCTC